TTGAAATGGAAGCGTTGCTTCGTCAATTGTCATCTTCTTCCTCTTCTGGAGGATTGAAGGCTTCTAAATGAGTGTGAAAGTTAATGCAGACTATAACTCTCTGAATAGGTCCCAAAATTTATTGGTTCAGATTTCAGATTGTTAAAGTAATAGCAACACAAATCTGGAACACAGTAAACTGGAACTGTGATCACTCATGAGCCTTGCTCCTTCTCCTGCCTCTTCCCAGCTGTTCTGTCTGCCATTGGCTGGTCTGGACCCAAGGACACCAGCTAAGCTGGCGTTTAGCTCAGGGTGGAGATCAGGGAGAGGGATGGATGGAGGAAACCTCTCCCGGGCCCTTCAAAACTATCCTTGCAGGCCCTGGCAGCATTGCTTTGCATAGAGCTGCGTGTGTGCTAAGGACACCTCGCCGCAGGGGAAGTCTGTGCCCTGGGATCTCCCTCCAGGAAGAGATGAGGCAGCGAAACTGGGAGAGGGGGAATCTGCCATTGTTGGAACAGAGACGGGCCAGGGACACCCTCCTGGCAGGTGTCCACTAGGCCTCACAGAGAACTGTACTAGCCGCCCCTTGGCCTCCAGGCCCTGGTGACCCCAGGCCCTGTGTGTCATCTGCCCTGCCACCTTCTCAGGTACAGCATCCCCCATTCCTCACTCTGGCCCCTCCACCATTCCCAAGCCTGTGGGCTTCCTGCTGCCTCCACCTTCTCTCGGCTTCTCCGGCCCAAAGTGTTTGCTCGAACTGTCCCCTCCAGGGCTGCTCCCAGTCAGCACGGCCGCTACCCACCAGAAGGCTGGAGGTGAATGGAGTTCTCACACACAGGGGCCATGGCTTTGACTTCAAGCTAGCCCCCATTTCGGCACTTTGTGTCAAAAAAAAAAATTTTTTTTTAATTGAAGTAAGCCTTTTAAGAGGTTCCAGTTCCAAGGTTTTCTACATTTGACGGTCACATGTTCTGCCTCCATCACCACCTTTTCTTTTATGTTTATTTGCCGCAAGGGACCGTAGTGGAAATGGTGCCGGGCAGACTCAGGAGACCTGGGTCCGAGACTGAGTAACCTTGGGCAATCACTCTCCCCAACCCCCACTCCGAGGCCCCTTTTCCACATCCCTGATTTAAGAGGGGGTTAGTCTAGATCAGAGAGCACCAGCTATCTTTGATCATGCCTCCCCAGCAATAAAAAAATGGGGAGCATGCCCCCATAATATGCGTATATTCAAACTCGGTCCCTTTACAATACCTGTATGTTATGATATAAATATGCAAAATAAAACATTTTAAAGCTAAATATTATATAAACCAAATACACATAAAATACCTTAAAAATAGATTCCCCTTTCATTTATAGAACAAAATTTCCTCCTCTCACCATTGTAATTAATAACAATAGTGTAAGGGAAAGCCATGTGGTTGGATGTGCTTCATTATTCTTTTAACATCTTGCTTTAACACTTTGAGATCGGGCCATTCAGGGGTCTGGTTCTAGCTGAGTCTATTTTTAGTGGCTGTCATAGCTGGTCCAAAGAGAAGAAATGTATCATTGCCTGCATGTGTCAAATTATGGCACTCATTTTCAATCCCCTCCACCAATTAAAGGCTTTTTATCGAAATGAAGCTTGTAGATGTCCATCTGCCCTTATGTCAGTCAGTGGCTCTTACAAGCTAATTGGAAAAACACTGCATTTTTATATTTTTAACAATGGACTCAAAATCCACTGACACTCTCCATTTGGATGATTTTCAAACAGATTAGAAAAATCTGTTCCTAATATTTTCAAGTATGCAGATAGAAGCATTATTTTAGGTGACTCCACATGTTTTCAACAACAAAAATCTGATGATGTTCAAAATATTCTCTCCAAAGCAGGAGTTCTTTGGAAAAGCAAGTGCTTTTCTCCCTCATTGCTGAAATGAGTCACCTCTACCTCGAAGAGTCAGAAGATTTCGAGTTCGTTTTTCAGGGGATATCTGCCAACAGTCACTTGTCATCATAAAATGCTCAGCAAATTTGGAACGTTTGTCTTTTTGTACAAGAAACACATATAATTCCTCTTAAAGTTTGATGGCTCTTTTAAGTCCTCTGCCAAGAGATAACCAGCAAATCTCTACGTGGCTCGAAAGATTTTCAAAGTCACTTCCCTTCTGATTACAAATCATTGTCTATGTTTTACTATGCTTTAAGCTCTTTAAAAAAAAAACAAAAAACTACCCACACCAATGCATCCTGTACCACTTTGTGTACTTCTGGACTTAACCTTTTGACTATGGTAGCCTGCAGGTAGTTTTGTGGGGCATTGGTTTCACAGGTGTGGCCATCTCTGCACCCTTACCCAGAATCCTTTTCATCATGGAGCAGCCACTCCATCGGTGATTACGCCCAGTTTCTCCCATAACTGGTGTCTTCATTAAAGAAGTAATGTACTGTTCAGTCAATATCGCCTCTTTCCATTAGTTGCTCTCAGAAATGTGGTTCTTCATGTATTTTATTATTGAAACAGAATCTAGGAAAACCATGTGAGAAACATCTGTACTTTTCTTCAACTATTCAGCAGACTTTCCACAGCGTGAAATGTGTTCTAATGTTTATTTCCCCCACATCTTCCAACAGTATCTGTGGTCACTACATTTTGTTCTATGCACTATTCTTGTTACCACCAGCTTCCACACCAACTGCCTTCTTCCCAGTCTCTAGAAGACAAGGTGTGTGTGTGTGTGTGTCTGTGTGTGTATAGATAACAGAGTCATGTGACATGGGCCTAAGAGAGAGTGGATTGGCTTCCTAGCAACCATCCCCTCTCCCCATCACTCCCAGCAAGGCCAAGAGTGGAGGGGGGCCCCCAGGGAAGGGAAGATTGGTATCTCATTCCCTGGTTGGATATATGCTTAAGCTCACTGCTTGCTGGTCTGCCTTGCCCCTGTCTGACCATAGGAAATGAGAATTGAAGCCGGGACTTCAGTTATGTCTGACTAGATTCTCACCATTTCTACTACCAAACAGAGAAGAACTTGTATTTTAAAAGGCAGAGTTTCTGGCCCTGACATTTTCTGGTTGATCACCGGCACTTGCATTACAAGCATTATCTTCTATTGTAGTTTCTTTGCGGGAATCTTGTTAAGCCACCATTTGCAAGAGTTAATTGAGTTAAAATTCGGCAAAGTAATTTGTGAAGCCACTTAGCTAGACACACGTGACCTGGAACACAGGGCAGGAGATAGCCCTTATCAGCATTCGTCTGAGGCCATCACTGTAAGCTTTCCAGGCAGCAGGGGTGTAGATGGGGTGGGGGTGGGGGGCAGACACTGCAGGAGCTTGTTTGTAGGTTCTAGCAAGGCAGTCCAGATTCTCCTGACCCCTGACCACTCCTGGGCCATACATATGTATATACATGTGACACTAACCCTGTCACCTAGGGACCTTATTTACAACGTCGATTCCTAGGTGTTTTAGTTTGCTAAGGCTGGTGTGACAAAGTACCACAATTATGAGGCTTAAACAACAGAAATTTATTGTCTCACAGTTCTAGAGCCTAGCAAACTGAGACCAAGGTGTCTGCAGGGTTGGTTTCTTCAGAGGGCTGAGAGGAAGAATCTGTTCCCTGCCTCTTTCCTAACTTCCGGCAGCGTGCCGGCCATCATTCCTTGGCTTGTAGATACCTCACGCCGATCTCTGCCTTCATCTGCACAGGGTGTTCTCCTCGAGCGCGTGTCTCTGTGTCCAAATTTCCCCTTTTAATAAGGATACAAGGGGCACCTGGGTGGCTCAGTTGTTAAGCGTCTGCCTTCGGCTCAGGTCATGATCCCAGGGTCCTGGGATCAAGCCCCACATCAGGCTCCCTGCTCCACGGGAAGCCTGCTTCTCCCTCTCCCACTCCCCCTGCTTGTGTTCCCTCTCTCGCTCTCTCTCTGTCAAATAAGTAAAATCTTTAAAAAAAAAAATAAGGACACAAATCGTATTGGATTAGAGGCCCACCCTACTTCATATGCCCTCATCTTAACTAATTATATCTAGAAGACCCTGTTTCCAAATGAGGTGACATTCTGAAGTACAAGGGGTTAAGACTTCAACATACAAATCTGGGGGACAGACACAATTCATCCATGATGCTGGGCTACACCCCAGACCTTCTAAAACAGGACCTCTGAGAGTGGGAGCTCACACTTCATGTTCTTAACAAGGACCTTCGGTACCTTGTTTGTTCACTAAAGCTTGAGAGGTTACATGGCCACCTGAGGTGACAAAGACTGTTCTCTCTCCCACCTCAAATACATAGGAGCACCAAATAAAACTAAATCATGGATGTTAATATGTAGCTTAGTTCAAAAGAAGTGAAGAAGAAATTTTCATGTGCCATAAATGGAGAGATCAAAACTAGAGGGCTAAGCATTGGCTGTTGCTGAGAAAACCCTAAGGAGTGTTAGACAAGGATACAGGCCCCTAGAGGCAGTGGCGGGGTGGTGGAGCTGGGGCTCAAATGCCCTTGAGGGAGGTAATAGGCACACTGGGTACTTGAAGCAGAGGAACCAATCCTTTTGCATGAAGCTTGGGGACTTGAAAAGGTACCTTGTCAGTGAAAGTCAGTGAAAGGGGGACTAGAAAAACCAATCAGAGATTTGTTTCAACTAATTAAAAATTGGGCAGATTGGCCATTCAGATCTGCTATGTGAACTCACAGAATCAAATAGCTTTCTTAGCTGAGGTACATCTAAGGAAAAAGAATTTGGGTTGGCTGAGGGGAGAGATGGGGGTCATTCTAGAATACTACAGCAAAGTTGGGATCTGATAAGGCCTGCCAGCAGGCAAGGAAGAGTTTAGAACAGGCAGGGCTGGGCCCCTGAGCAACTCGAGGAAAGAAGTACTGGTAGGTGGGAATGAATTAGGCATACTGAAAGCAGAGGAGGGTGCCAGGGAGGAATTTGCCATGCTTCTGATAGATAGGTGAGGGCCGGGGAGGCATGAACCTGACATTGATAGGCCTCCCCACTCCTCCTCTCCCACAGGTCAACCCTTTCAGAGACCGAATCTGCAAAGTGTTCTCCCACAATGATGTGTTCTCCTTTGAGGATGTGCTGGGCATGGCATCTGTGTTCAGTGAGCAGGCCTGCCCCAGCCTGAAGATCGAGTATGCCTTTCGCATCTATGGTGGGTGACTAAGTGGTGGTGGTGGGTGGGGGTCAGTGCCATAGAGTAAATAGCAACCTAGAATCCATCAACTTCAATTCACTGGTGGGATGATGTTCCTTGGGATTCACTTGGGTGTTTATGGGTATTAGCATGTTTCTTGAATTCTATAGATTTAAAAAAAATGGTGGTGAACAACTACTTCAATGGATAGATGCCCTCCCTTCATGCCATCGGAGGCAAATGGAGCCACGGGTGTTGTATTTTGTGGTAGCAGTGTAGGCACTACATATGGGTGAGGACTACATATGGATATGAAGGAGATATGCTTGTTTTGTAGGAATTCAGAAATTTGAACACCAGAACTAGCTTAGCCACAAAATGGCTGAGAAATCTTGGACAAATCATTTCATCTTTCTGGGCCTCAGTTTCATCATCTTTAAAATGAGGTGTTTGAGAGAGATCATCTCTGAGGTCCTATGACATTTTTTGGTCTCTGGTTTTGTCTGGATTAGCCATAAGATACTGCAAAAGTTCTGCTCTTCAGCAGGCTCATGTTCCCTTAGCACAGCTTACATGCCTGGAATTCTCAAAAGAAATTAAAAGGAAAGAAACAAAGAAATCTTGGGAAGTTTTCAAACAGGCCATGTACAAGGCTTCAAGCTCATTGTGACAATTCCTTGGCCCCAAAGGACTTGTACATTCAGGCTTGCATAGTTTGATATTTCATATGCTTTCCCTTCCAACCAGGTCCTCCCTGTCTCCACACAGTGGACACAATCTTATTCTTGCCTTGCCCAAATGGATTTGGATAAAATGGAGTGGAGAAGATTTAAGCCTGATGGACCTGTGAGGGCTCAGTTTTCTCATCTGTAAAAAGGACTTAATGATATTTTTGTAAGCCCTACGTCCTCAAGCTTAGTATCCAGTAAACACAAATGAAATCAGATCCCCCTGCTGAGAATAGCTGAGTAAGCTCTTATCATACTGTCACTTCCACAGATAGCAACTACAAACTCAAATACACACACACACACACACACACAAACACACATATAGGCGCCTGGGTGGCTCAGTCAGTTTCAGCTTCCTTCAGCTTGGGTCATGATCCCAGGGTCCTGGAATTGAATCCTGAGTCAGGTTCCCTGCTCAGCAGGGAGTCTGCTTCTCCCTCTCCCTCTGTCCCTCCCCCACTCATTCTTTCTCTCTCCAATAAATAAATAAAATCATATATATATATATATATACATATACATACATATATATATAAACTACCTGCAGGCACTAGAATGGTACCAGAAGCAGAGAGTTGACATTTAAAAGAAAGAAATGGACATGTATCATATGACCTCACTGATATGAGGAATTCTTAATCTCAGGAAACAAACTGAGGGTTGCTGGAGTGTGGGGGGTAGGAGGGATTGGGTGCCTGGGTGATAGACATTGGGGAGGGTATGTGCTATGGTGAGCACTGTGAATTGTACAAGACTGATGAATCACAGATCTGTACCTCTGAAACAAATAATGCAATATATGTTAAGAAAAAAAAAAAGGAAGAAGAAGATAGCAGGAGGGGAAGAATGAAGGGGAGTAAGTCGGAGGGGGAGACGAACCATGAGAGACGATGGACTCTGAAAAACTGAGGGTTCTAGAGGGGAGGGGGGTGGGGGGATGGGTTAGCCTGGTGATGGGTATTAAAGAGGGCACATTCTGCGTGGAGCACTGGGTGTTATGCACAAACAATGAATCATGGAACACTACAACAAAAACTAATGATGTAATGTATGGTGATTAGCATAACAATAAAAAATTATTTAAAAGAAAGAAATGGTACTGGATGGTCCCCTCCCCTTTTTATAAACTTTTTTAGCCTAAAGGTGGCTTGCAATGAGGGGCGTCATACAGGACTGATAGAAACTTTGAACTCTTTCTGACTTGAAGAATCAGAGGGTTTGGGGCAATTTTCCCCTGAAAAGTGAAAAGAAGGGAGAGTCCATGAAAGAAAGCCAGACAAAGGAGCCCAACATCTGTGCATGAACAGATCTCTTTCTGACCTCTAAACCATATATACAAGGGCAGACTCAAAGCAGCTCAGGTAAGGAGAACAGAACTGAGATTTGAGTGGCCACCGCATTTGAACAAGGTCCCTCTGTGACAGGGTTTGCACTTTAAGTCCTATCAATTGCCTGATAGAATAAAAAAAAAAAAAATCAGCACTCTTTAGAGGAATATAACAGAATCCAGACAATAAATCATTTATAATGTCTAAGATACAATCCAAAGTTATACAAAATACAAAAATTTAAAAAAACCAGAAATGTCTGAGCTACAATCCAAAATTATTCACTAGACAATTAAAAATATAAAATTGACATATTCTCAAGAATGGAGCCTGACTCTGACATGACCCAGATGTTGGAATTAGCTGATAAGTCTCTTAAAACAGCTACTAAACCTTGGCCAGTGAGGTAAAAGAAATTCATAATGGAAGAAATAGGAGGAATTCTCAGCAGAGAAATAGAAACCATAAGGAAGAATCAAATGAAAATAAAAAGTGAAAAATAAAATATCTAAAATAAAAATTCCTTGGATGGGCTTAACAGGAGAATGGAGATGACAGAGGAAAGAGTCAAAAACCTGACTCCGAAGATAGTTCAATATAAATAATCTAATCTAAAGAACAGAAGGAAAAGAATTAATGGGGAAGAAAAGATATTTGAAGAAGTAATGGCCCCACATGTCCTAAGTTTGATACAAGACATACATTTACCGTGAACTTTAAGCAGAGTTAAGTACAAATGAAATCACATACCCAAATTCAATTGGCTTAGTGGTCCCCACCTGTTCATTAGTCATCCTCCTTCCTTACCTCAAGTACTTCTGGGGATCCCCAGGGAGTTCTAGCCCACTAGCTGCTGCCCCTCTCTGTCGGGACTCATGCCGCAGAGCACTTGCTGTGCTGTCCCGAGCTGCTTCTGCCTCCAGTCAGTACTCTTCTGAATGGGCAGCTCTTCCTGATGCAGAGTGCTGGCCCAGGCTGAGTGCTCTCATCTTAGCCAAGAGTCTTTAGGTGGCAAGTAACAGGGACCTACCTGTGTAAAAGGAAATGGATGAAGAATAGCAGTATATTCGTTTCCCTTTGCTGTGTGATAAATTACCACAAACCTAGTGGCTGTAGATGACACATTTAAAATCTCACAGTTTCCGTGGGCTAGGAGTCTGGCATGGCTTATTTGTGTCCTCTCCTAGGATTTCACAGGGCTGTAGTCAAGGCTCTGTCTGGGCTGCATGTGACCGGGGAGGAACCCACTTACAAGCTCACTCTGGTTGTTGGCAAGTGCATTTCCTTGCGTCTATGGAGCTTAGAGCCCTGGCTTCCCACTGGCTATCCGCTGGAGGCTGCCCTCAGTTTCCAGAGGCTGGTCTGTACTCCTTGCCACATGGGCCTCCCCTGATATAGCCACTTGCTTCTTCAAAGACAGCTAGAGAGAGTCTCTTGAGTGCGTATGCTGGTAAGACAGAGTCTTATATAACATTGTAATCACGGAAGTAACATCCCATCACTGTTGCCAAATTCTGCTGGTGAGATATAAGTCGCAGGTCCCTTCCACAGGAAAGGGACATGGAGATTATATACACATAAACACCAAGAGGGGCCCGTCATGGTGGGGGCGGAGGGCTCTAGAGTTTGTCCATCACAAGCAGCATGGAACCCGTGGGAGAACTGAAGCAGCCTCCCAAGGACGCAACTGGCAAGTGGTCAGGAAGTGAGGCAGCTGCTATCTTCTTTTCTCTCGCTGGCTGCCTGGTCTCTCATCTCCACTTCTCTCTGTGCATTTGCTCTTCCTGCAGACTTTTATGCTTCTGTGCCTATGGGCCAAAGATGAACACCCTGGTCCCCCATTTTCTCAGGAGAGACTGATGGCTCAGCCAAATGCATGATCTTGCTACGCCCGGGCTGGGTAAACAGCCTTGTCCAACCAACCGCAGCCCAGAAGATGCAGAGTCACATAACAAACACAGCTCCCGAGGCCCACTGCTGGGGGTGGGGACACTTCTCAGAGATGGTAAAGTGTGGGCTGAGCAGATGTGCCCAAAGATGTCTGCCTCAGCTGTCTTTCCATGGTTTCCAGAGCTAAACAAACAAAAAAACACCCAAACCTTCAGGGAGCTACAAGAACAGCAGGTTCTCTTCAGGCTTCAAGGCACAGGAGTTAAACTGTGCTCAGCTGAGAAAAGGGAAGAATGCCCTCACTCCCAAGAGGTCAGACTGAGTGCCTCAGGTCAGATCAGGGACCAGATGCCACCTGTCCCCCACGCTGTCCTTGTGTCCTCCTCCAGCCCCTCTCTCCAGGCCCCCTTGACGGGTTTCCTTCCTCCTTGAGCTCCGGCACAAAAACAGAAAGCGCAAAGCCTTCATGCAAATCAGCTGTGCAAATAGATGCCTGGGGACTCATAAACTCCAAGGCTTCATCAGATATACCCAGACAAATCTGAATTCTCTTTGGGTTCAGAAGATTTGTTGCCTTACGGAGCTGTCAGCAGGATTAAAGATGGGACACGTGAATCTCTGAGCCCGGTGCTTGGCGCGTGGGAGCTGCTCAGTACATTGAGGTGGGAAGAGTAGCAGTGAAGGCAGAAGAGGAAGAAGAAAAAGGGAAAGGAGAAGGTGGTAATGGCCCTGGTGAGCCTTCTTAGCCAAAGTCCAGAGACTTAACTCGATGCCCTAATGCCTTGGTCCTCCATGAGTGGCCCATGCACCAGCAGCGACATTGCCAGGAAGCCCATTAGGAATGCAGACTCCCCGGCCCCCCAGCCCTGCCACACACCTGCCGCATCAGAGTCCACATGTTAACAAGACCCCCAGCTCGGTCCTCCACATCTTAAAGTTTAGGAGACACTGCTCTAACCCATTGGTTCTCAAACGTGACTGCACACTGCAGTCATCTGGGGACTCAAGACCCACAGCTGCTTGGGCCCCAGCTGCACAGATCTGATGTAAGGTGTGCCCTGGTTGGTGG